GATCTTTAACCATTGTTATTTGTAAGTCTTTTGTCATTTACAGCCACTGTTTTATTACTCCTAAGCTAGTAAAGAACTAGATTTCAGCAGAACAGTTATTGGTTATATAGGATTAAGTAAAGTAAGGACGATGATCTTGTGGCTTTTTGTTTCAAATGTTGCTGATAAAGTATTTTAAGCTTGTTCCCTTAAGCTGACAACAGTTTAGTAAATGACTATCTTTATAAGCAGAATTGAAACATTTATCTTTCTCTCGACCTGATCTCTCCAGAATTAAAAAACTCTCAGTGACTATTTTTATATTTCATGACGGTATGTTTATTTGCGTAAGTTCAATAAGAACCTGCTTTCCTTGTATGAGGACCAATTAAAAACACAGGTTATACTACCAAGGCTTTGACTGGAATGTCATACCTGAGAGACACGTGCATAAACTCAGATTTGAACAGCTTTAAGGAACTAAGGTTGACTTTATAAAGCCAACAAATCCCCTTGGAAGAACTGGCGTGGTACCTTGCTTACAGGGTTCCCAGCAGCCTTACCAGGTGAGTAAGGAAGGTCACTTCCTGGCAGGTGCAGGAACCTCAAGATGTCTTGGGGGCCTCGAGAAGAGACGAATTCACCCAAATCTACAGGTACTGCAGGCAAAACCTGATGGCAAGTATGGCTTGGCTTTCTGGCCTCAAGAGGCCTTTAAAAGTTCAATCTGAAATTCCTTATAAAAAGTTCCAGCAAAGCACATTTAAAAGAGCCTATGTAATCAATTGCTCTTCTTGATGCAATTACGCAAATAATAAAGCCAAGTGTTAATTATTTTCTTAATCTGGTTACTTCTAATAAAAATGAGGGTGATTTTGGAGAAAAATATTGTTTCAATAATGCAGCCTTATCCATACTAAATCCTAATACTAGTCATTGGGACATAAACTAGATCCAGAATTCTAGCTTCTTCAAAATATCTGGCTATTATTTTCCAGATGTTTTAGTTTTCTCCTATCATTTCAATTAAAGTTATACTATTTCTAGTTCTCATATTCAACCATGCATTCTTAATCCCATCAGGTTTGTCCCCCAGAATGGAAAATCCAACTCCACATGTTGCTACTTAACCTAGTAACACAATTTCTTCTATCTTGCCTAGAAGCCACAAAACTGCAAAGAGTAATAGAAATGGAACCGGGAATAGAAGTGCCCATCTTCCAAGGCCCTCTCAACTGACCACTGATGGAGTCCTAACTGCGCCCTGTACTGCACCCCCTCTCAGCATGAAGCAGCCAGAGCGGTCATCTCCCCCTTTCCCTAGCAGTAGCTAGGGTCTCCATCTGTAGAGGGGAGAATGAGACAGGGACGGTGGGTGTAGTCAGAGTAGGGTGAGGGCCTCCGAGAAAAGCAGGGCAGAATATTTACACTCAGAGCAATGTAACAATGGGCAAAGAAGTCCCTATTGAAACTCTGTGCTAAGCATTATGCAAAGTCAACGTCACACTAATTCTCTAGGGAAAGATACCTAAGAATATAGACACATTCAGTGAGATCAGTTAAAGGTCAAAAGGCCAGGAGCAACTTGGCCTGGAATGTTTGAGTGTTCTGCAAGGGTATCAGCATAACTCGTGACTCTGCTGTCAGCCCTAGAATCAGACTATGACCTAGCCCACCTTGAGGACAGGGCAGGTGATACAAGTCCACACCCCTAAGCCTTTTTCTTGATGTCCTCAAAAAATCCTCAGCTGCCTATAAAACCCCCTAGACAACGCACCAACATGGGCTCTCTTGTCTCCTCCTGGCATAAGCCAGGAGGTCTATTCTCTCACTTTATTTCTAAATAAAAGCCTGTACCTTGCTTTCCTAAAAAAAAAAAAAGAGCAAATAATCCAATCAAAAAATGGTCAGAGGAACAGAACAGACAGTTCTCCAAAGAAGAAATTCAGATGGCCAACAGATACATGTAAAGATGCTCCACATCACTAGTCATCAGAGAAATGCAAATTAAAACCACAATGAGATATCATCTCACACCAGTAAGGATGGCCACCATCCAAAAGACAAACAACAACAAATGTTGGCAAGGATGTGGAGAAAGGGGAATCCTTCTACACAGCTGGTGGGAATGTAAATTGGTTCAACCATTGTAGAAAACATTAAAGAATGTTCCTCCAAAAACTCAAAATTGAAATACCATTTGACCCAGGAATTCCACTCCTAGGAATTTACCCTAAGAATGCTGCAGCCCAGTTTGTAAAAGACATATATGTACCCCTATGTTTATCGCAGCACTATTTACAATAGCTAAGAAATGGAAGCAACCTAAGTGTCCATCAGTAGATGAATGGATAAAGAAGATGTGGTACATATACACAATGGAATATTATTTAGCCATAAGAAGAAAACAGATCCTACCATTTGCAACAACATGGATGGAGCAAGAGGGTATTATGCTCAGTGAAATAAGCCAGGCAGAGAAAGACAAGTATCAAATGATTTCACTCATCTGTGGAGTACAAGAACAAAGAAAAAACTGGAGGAACAGAACAGCAGCAGACTCACAGAACCCAAGAACAGACGAACAGTTACCAAAGGGAAAGGGACCAGGGAGGATGGGTGGGGAGGGAGGGATAAGGGGGGGAGGGAAGAAAGGGGGCATTACGATTAGCATGCATAATGTGTGGGGGGCAGGGGGCACAGGAAGGGCTGTACAACACAGAGAACACAAATAGTGATTCTACAGCATCTTACTACGCTGATAGACAGTGACTGCAATGGGGTATGTTGGGGGAACTTGGTGATAAGGGAGTTTAGTAAACATAATGTTCCTCATGTAACTGTAGATTAATGATACCAAAAGGAAAAAAAATCCTGTGGCTTATTCTGTCTCCGAGCATCTTGTATCAGTACTTCCAGTTTGGTATATCTTCCGGTACTAGAGAGAAGCATTTTAAACTGTCTTGTAATATAAAAATGAAACAAAATTAACAAAATAGCAGTAGACTCATAGACACTGGGAAGTAACTGATGTTTACCATGGGGCAGGGTTTGGGGTAGGTGGGATAAAAGGAAACAAAAATTCTCAATCATAATGTAAGTTAGTCATGCGGATGGAAGTGCAGCATGGAGAATATAGCCAATGATTCTGTAACATCTTCCTATGTTGACAGTAACTGCACTAGTGGGGGTGTGGAATTAATACTATGGGTAACTATTGAACCACTGTGTTGTATACTTGAAACCAATATAAGATTGTGTATCTATGATAACTTCAAAAAAAATAAATAGTCTCCTTGTCACTGTTTCTGAATTCTGAGTGCATTTCTATTTGTCTTTCCTTGGCCCCTTTTTGCAGAGCGATACTGCTTCTCTGCATTCTTTTTTTTTTTAAGGTATGATTGATATACACTCTTATGAAGGTTTCACATGAAAAAACAATGTGGTTATTAGATTCACCCATATTATCAAGTGCCCACCCATACCCCAATGCAGTCACTGTCCATCAGTGCAGCAAGATGCCACAGATCCACTATGTGCCTTCTCTGTGCTACACTGTTCTGTGATCCCCCACACCATGTGTACTAAACATAATACCCCTCAATCCCCTTCTCCCTCCCTCCCCACCAGCCCTCCCACACCCCTCCCCTTTGGTAACCACTAGTTCCTTCTTGGAGTCTGTGAGTCTGCTGCTATTTTGTTCCTTCAGTTTTGCTTCATTGTTATACTCCACAAATGAGGGAAATCATTTGGCCTTTGTCTTTCTCCACCTGGCTTATTTCACTGTTCTCTGCATTCTTTTAAAGGTAGTTGTATTAGTATCTTTTCTTCTTTTCCTTTTTGTCCCTCTAATTTTAAAGATCACTTAATCTGCTATTCTTCAAATTTGAAGAAACAAAGCTTGTTATAACCAGTGAAACAATGCAATACTAGGAGGTACAAAGACAAAGCTAATCACCTCCACCTCAACCTCCTGATGCAATCAATATTTGCAGCCTGCTAAGGAGCCTTCCACAACTCTCCTTGCTCATACAAACAGATAAACATATGTGCAAATATATAAAATTATGCTTTTTCCAACGTATATACTATTCCAACACTATACACATAACTCTGCAACTTGTTTCACCTAGTTACATATATAGTATCACCTGTGCGTGCATATTATATAAAATATCCACATATAGATATGTGACAACAGACAATGTATAGTATTTAACAAAATATAGGTTAGACACTCTGTAGTCTTAAGTTCCCTTCTAGTTCTAAAATTTGTTTTGTATTCCTTTAAAGAATATACCACCATTATAATTATTTGTAATGAATTGTTTAATGTCTTTCTTCCCTGCTAGACTAAGAGCTCCATGAGGACAGGGGGTTAATTTTGTTCACTACTGTATCTCCAGAATTTAGGGTAGTGCTTGCCAGGATAGCAATTGCCTAAATTCTGTATGTTCAGTGTTTCAGTGCCTCCTGAAACTTTTAATCTACTTAAACTGGGCCATTGCCAATACTCCAATATATGTGTTTTTAGGAACTCAGACCTGAGTTAGTTACCACTCAGTGTTATTTAGATGGAACCTACTGAAAGTACATTTTATATATTCGTAAGAACCTGTGTTCTGCCACAAAAAATACTTTTAAAAGATCACGTTTAGCAGAAAGCTCTGCACTTGTCATTAGGAAACCTGGATTCTAGTCCCAGCTCTGCCGTTAATTACTGTGTGGCTTTCAGAAAATTCCTTATCCTTTCTGGTCCTGCTTCCTCATCGGTAGCTCTAACATTAATTCCCAAATATGTACTGTCTACTCGTGTTGGCACTAGGTTAAGTGCTAGTGATGCGGGGATGTATTAACAGCCAACATTTAAAGAATGCTTATCCTGTGCGTGGTCTTTTGCTAACGGAATCATATGCACTATTTCACTTAATCTTCTTTGAGATAGCACGACATGGTATTTTCTGTACTTTACAAAAGAGGAAACTGAGGCGTAGCGAGGTGAAGTCACCTTCCCAGCTTACCAAAAGACGCGGTGAAAACAGGATTCGATTCCAGACAGTGGGGCTTCAGATGCCACTCCAATAACCACAGCGAATCCTTGCCCTCATACTTCGATGACTATTTCAGTGGCCTGCATTTTGGCCCCAGCCCAGGAGTACCGGGTGGAGCACCCTCTTGTCAATATGAGGGTGCAATGACGCAGGAGAACGTCAAAGAAAACACTGAGAGCTAACAGAGCCGCTGCAAGGAGCGAGGTTCGACCTCACTCTCGCAGTTCCCACTTCCGGAAGGGAAGAGGTGAAAGGTGATAGCGGGTCTTACGCATGCGCGCCAACCGGTGTGTCCCATTGGGTACAGGCGAGCGTGCAGGTAACGCCAGCAGGACGCGGCCTCCGGAACTCAGCAGCGGGGCGGGAAGTGCGCGCTACGTGCGCGCGGGCCCTACAGACGTCGGCGCGCCCGCCGCTCTGCCTGGCGGAAGCTTCGCTTGCCCCGCCCTGCTGTTCGCGGCATCGCCGCTTCCACTTCCTGGTTCGCCCTACCTTTAGCGAAACCAACGAGAGGACATCGTCTGCCATCTAGAACAGCCCGACCAGTGGCGTAATAGAGTGGCGCGCGAACGTGAGAGGAAAGCTGTGTGCGGCTGCGCTTTCCCGCCCCTGAGCTGTGGTGGCCGCCGGTGAGTACTGGGGCACAGGCGCATACCCTGAGTCGACCCCGGAGTGGCCCGACCCCGCCCCTCTTCGGGGGAAGGCCTGGACCGGGCTCATTCCCAGCATGCTCCACGCGAGGTTCCTGGGCAGGTGCCCAGGGAGTAATAGTGAGTAGGGGACACCGGGAGGCGCTCCCTTGGCCCCCAGTGGAGTCTTGGGACTATGTCCTTCCTCTCGCTTTTATTCCCCACTTTGTCCTTCTCCCTTTCCATATTCCACCCCAACCACCTTCACCTTGCCAAAAGATTAATCTCAAAAACCACTCTGGTAGTTTCTGCCTCATTTGTGCCTGTGTGCAGTTTTGTTTCCCTCTCCTCTGCACCAAATACCTAAAATGTGCATTTCCAGTGTTACACTTTTTCTTTTTCCTCCCTTAATGGGAAAAATATATCCTTAGAATAATTTGTATAAATGATCCATGAATAGCATCCCCGTCAGGAATAATTCTGACATATATATGCCATTATCAAGCTCAGAGACACGTGTGAATTAATCATGTATTGGCCAGAAATAACGTGTAAAATGAAACGCCAAAATTCTATATAAATTAATTAGAGTGCATCTGACAATTCTAATACTAAGCAACGCTTGTTTCCTGCCAATTCTTTTTTCTTTCTTAGAGCTGTGTTTATTGACCAAGTTCTGTCACACAGGAAAATAATCCTGCCTCTTTCCCCACCCCACCCCTCAGGAATTACATCTGCCAGGCTATTCCACACCTTTCCTTCTGGTAGAAGTCAAAGTCTGTTTCCTCTAGAAGAAAACCAAGGGATGGTTTTCTTGTAGCAGTATGGTGATGTTGGTTGCAAAATGTCAGTTATGGTTAACAAACCCCATAAAATTTTTTTCATTTGTAGGAAAACAAGGCTATTCAGTAACTCATTAACTAAATTATCAATAATATGGATGGAAGCACAGTTGACATCATTATTCTGTAATAGAAAAAGCATTAAATTGACATCAAGAGATCTGATTTATAGTTTAGTTCTACCACTGACTGACTGTGACTTTGGGTCAATTACTTAACCTCTGTAGACCCTCTGTTTTCCTGTCTGTAAAATGAGAAAAATGACATTAGGTAGCTTCTAAGGCTCCTTTCAACTTTCAGACACAATAGGAAAATCTAAGTAGCTCAGTAGAACGTTCCTTGTGGAGATAAAGGGGAAATTGGGAAAATATCAGTCGTTATGTTTAATGTTGGCTTTTCTTTTAATTTCTAATTGAAAGTGTATAGTCTTCCTTTTTACTTCCCTGAAGAATAAGGAAATGCCTTTGGAGGAAATTGAAATGTTAATTTCGCCCCACATATGCCTACATTGACTCAGTTATCATCCAAAACATTTATTTTCATTATGGGCTTTTATTACATCATGTAGTTGGTATACTGTATTGGAAACCATTTAGTCTTAGAAACAAAAGGGTAACTACTAACATATATGATGTCAATCTTGAGAAACTTGATTTAGATGTACTCAGAACACCTAAGGACAGCAGCCGTGAGTTAAAGCACTAGGTTGAGAACAGAAATGCCAGCACAGACACCATTGGTGATTTGCCAGTTGTAGGTGGTTTTATGTCTTCAATTAAAGTTTTGGTATAAGTCCATTTATATCTGCAGAGGTTATTTAAATAATATAATGCACACATATCAAAGGAAATTCCTTTAAAGAGAATGATGGACAATCTCTGTAACATTGGTTTCTAGGGTTAATTTAGTAGTTGATTGATTAAATCCCCATAGATGAGGTACAAAAATAGCCTCCCAGAAAATTCTTCTGCATGGAGGTGCTGATGCAAAGTTCCAGGTTATATGGAGGAGTAGATCCTAAAGATCTTTTTCTTCTTCGTAGGAGAAATGCTTTCTGAAAGCAGTTCATTTTTGAAGGGTATGATGCTCGGAAGCATCTTCTGTGCCTTGTTCACAATGCTAGGACACATTAGGATTGGTCATGGAAGTAGAATGCACCACCATGAGCATCATCACCTACAAGCTCCTAATAAAGAAGATATATTGAAAATTTCAGAGGTTGAACGCGTGGAGCTCAGTAAGAATTTTCGGGTATACTGTATCATCCTTGTAAAACCCAAAGATGTGAGTCTTTGGGCTGCAGTGAAGAACACTTGGACCAAACACTGTGACAAAGCAGAGTTCTTCAGTTCTGAAAACGTTAAAGTGTTTGAGTCAATTAACATGGAAACAAATGATATGTGGTTAATGATGAGAAAAGCTTACAAATACGCCTTTGACAAATATAGAGACCAATACAACTGGTTCTTCCTTGCACGCCCCACTACATTTGCTGTTATTGAAAACTTAAAATATTTTTTGTTAAAAAAGGATCCATCACAACCTTTCTATCTAGGCCACACTATAAAATCTGGAGACCTTGAATATGTGAGTATGGAAGGAGGGATTGTCTTAAGTATAGAATCAATGAAAAGACTTAATAGTCTTCTCACTATCCCTGAAAAGTGTCCTGAACAAGGAGGGATGATTTGGAAGATATCTGAAGATAAACAGCTAGCGGTCTGCCTGAAATATGGTGGAGTGTTTGCAGAAAATGCAGAAGATTCTGAAGGAAAAGATGTATTTAATACCAAATCTGTTGGCCTTTTCATTAAAGAGGCAATGACTAATCACCCTAACCTGGTAGTAGAAGGATGTTGTTCAGATATGGCTGTTACGTTTAACGGACTGACTCCTAATCAAATGCACGTGATGATGTATGGGGTATACCGCCTCCGAGCATTTGGGCATGTTTTCAATGATGTATTGGTTTTCTTACCTCCAAATGGTTCTGACAATGACTGAGAAGTGGAACAAAAGCATGTGTATGATCACCATCTACAACATGTGTTGCCATTATTTGTAGTAAAACTACATATCTAAAACAGGAGTATGTTTTGTTTCTTTTTCAGTTTGGTGGCACTAGTTTAATTGCACATTAAAGTTTAGTAGTACATTTTCACATAGGGTGGGTTTTTTTTCCCTTAAAACACTTGTGAAAATTTCAATCATGTTGGAAAAAAATGTTTGATAATAATTTTTCAAATAAAAGATGTATTTACAAATATGATAAATTATAAATTATAAACATTAAAATACGTGGCATATTTTTGCTGATTGGTTAAAAATTTTAATGTCTTTTTAGCTTTTTAAGATATGCAAATGAAACCTAGGTGTGAATTTGATTCAAGTAAAACTTTCATCTGTGGGTTTCTATTGTTTTTTTTGGTTTGGTTGACTAATTTTTTTAATTGAAGTATAGTTGATAGACAATATTATATTGGTTTCAAATATATAACACAGTTCAACAGTTACCCATATTATTAAATCCTCATCCCAGCAAGTGGGTTACTATCTATCCACATAGAAAGATGTTACAGAATCATTGGCTATATTCTCCATGCTGCACTCCCATCCCCACGACCAACTTATAATTGAAATTTTTATACTCACATTTATCCCCCTCATCCTCCTCACTCACCTACTCCAACCCATCCCCCATTGTAACCTCCAGTCACCTCTCAGTGTCTGTGAATCTAGTGCTGTTTTGTTTTTAGATTCCACATGCAAGTAAAATCATACAGTATTTGTCTTTTTCTGCCTGGCTTATTTCATTTAGCATAATACCCTCTAGGGCAAATGGTAGGATTTGTTTATGGCTGAATAATATTCCATTGTGTATATATACCACATCTTCCTAATCCATTCATCTATTGATGGAAACTTAGGTTGCTTTCATATTTTGGCTATTATAAATAATGAAACAAACAGGTGCATATATCTTCACAAATCAGAGATTTTGTTTCCTTCATGAAGTAAATTCCTAGAAGTGGAGTTACTGCATCATATGGTATTTATATTTTTAGTTTCTTGAGGAACCTCTATACTGTTTTCCATAGTGGTTGCACCAATGTACATGCCCACTAACAGTGCAGGAGGGTTCCCTTTTCTCTGCATCCTAACAAACACTTGTTATTTCTTGTCTTTTGGATAGTGGCCATCCTAACTGGTTTGAGGTGATATCTCATTGTGGATTTGATTTGCATTTCCCTCATAGTCAGTGATGAGCATCTTCTCATTTGCCTGTTGGCCATCTGAATTTCTTCTTTGGAGAAGTGTCTGCTCATATCTGTTTCTTCTTTGGAATAATGTTCAGGTCCTCTGCCCATTTTTAATCAGATTTTTTTTTTGTATTGAGTTGTATGAGTTCTTTATATATTTTGGATGTTAACCCCTTATCAGATAAATCATTTACAAATATATTCTCCCATACTTTATGTTGCCTTTTTGTTTTGTTGGTGACCTTTGCTGTATGGAAGCTTCTTAGTTTGATGTTCCACTGTTCATTTTTTCTTTTGTTTCCCTTGTCCAGGGAGACATGTCCAGAAAAAAATTGCTCATGCATATGTTCAAGAGATTTTTGCCTATGTTTTCTTCTAAGAGTTGTATGGTTTCATACCTTATATTTAGGTATTTGATCCATTCTGAGTCTACTTTTGTGTGTGGAGTTAGACAGTAATGTTTCATTCTCTTGCATGTAGCTGTCCAGTTTTGCCAACACCATTTATTGAAGAGACTG